CGGCGAGTCGATCCTAGACCCATTCGATCGAGAGCCGGAATCAGTCTGAGTGGATTATTCCGGGCAACCGGGCAGCAAAGGATCCTATCAAACATAGTTAAAATCCGGCCAACTTGGTCTTTGAACCGACGTCAACACGATTGACCTGACCCATATATATATATATATATATATATAATTTTTTTTAATTTTTTTTTTCAAAATAAAACTATGTACATAAACAATATATGTTTTATATGGTAAATATTATATATATGTTTTATGTGGTAAATATTATTATGAAATACATAAACACTTAATGTACGATTTATACACAAAACATTTAATTTTGTAACTTTTATTTAAAAATTTATGAAAGAAATACTTTATATATAATTTTAAAAATTTTGAAAAACATTTAATTTTGTAACTTTTATTTAAAAATTTATGAAAGAAAAACTCTATATATAATTTAAAAAATTTTGAAATTAATTATCCAGTTCATCATCAATTAACAGGTGATCGACGGTTTAAAAATATCACTGGTGATCGACGGTTTAAAAATATCACTGGTGACCCGATGAGTCGGAGACTTGCCCGGTCCATTTACCGAACCGAGTTTAAAAACTATTATAATATTTAAACTTTTAAAGATATTCAAATTTATAGTAAAGAAGAAAAGGAATCATAATCAATATTCAAAAAGATAAAAAACAAGGAAAAAGCAAAAAGAAGGAAACCAAAAAAAAATTAGTGCAAAATAACTTTCATTTGTACAATGCAATTTCGATTACAGAAACTTCAAACTGCAATTCATACTTAGACCAAGAGAGAAATCACGCGAAAACAGAACATCAACATTATTTATTACAATCATCACAACCAAACTAGAAAACCATCAAAAGACACATGACTTAATTATTCTCAGATCAACACTTTCCTTAATTAACCGGAGATGTCAATCGCTTTAACCTCGGGCTTCTTGACCTCCTCCTTGGGCACGGACACCGTAAGCACTCCGTTCTCCATGGCAGCCTTCACCTGATCCAGCTTCGCATTCTCCGGCAACCGGAAACGGCGGACGAACTTGCCGGAGCTCCTCTCGACGCGATGCCACTTGTCGTTCTTCTCCTCTTGCTCCTTGCTCCTCTCCCCGCTGATCTGGAGAATAGAGCCGTCCTCGACCTCCACCTTGACTTCCTCCTTGTTGAGGCCGGGGACATCCACCTTGAACACGTGGGCCTCAGGCGTCTCCTTCCAGTCTATGCGCGCGTTGGCCACCGCCGATGCGTCCCTGCCGGTGGACAGAGGGAAGCTCTCGAATGGGTCCCACAGATCCAACGAGAACGGGTCGAACACGTTGCTCCGGTGGTTGCCAAAGAAGCTTGGGATCAGCGACATTTTTTGGGTATATTTGTGTGTAAATCAAAGAGCAGGTTAGATTGATTGATGAAGAGATTTTGATGACTTTTGGATAAAGATTAAGAATGGTGTAGGATTATTTATAGTGGTGGGTGGAAGGACCTGGCGAATTCGTGCAAGTTCTCGACTCGAATAGCGCTTGGCAAGTTGCCATATTCTAGAGTACACGTGTTCTCTCCACATTCCTCCATATTCCTCTCCCGCTAATCCTTCACCAATTAATTGTGGGAAATGCTACGGTTCGATTATGGTATTATTCTGTGTTTTAACCGTTAGATCCACGTATAGTTAGATAAGATAAATAATTCAATGGTTAAAATACCTGACTGAATGATACCGGACCGTATCATTTCTCTTAATTTGTATTTCGGTTATTAAATATTGAAAATGGAGCGCAGCAGGAGCTGTAGTTATTTTAGAGAATATTGTAAATTTATTTTTATATAAAATAGTACGTAGGAAAAATTGTAAATTCATAAAATAGTTTTTTATAAAAAATAAAAATAATATATTATTATAGACCTCATTGAACACAATATTATTAGATTGATTACTAGGCAACTCCTCGTCCCCACAAATTAAGCGTGACTAAAATCCGATTTCTTTAAGAACATATAAACGTACAATAAAACACTGACGCTGACTTTTTTTTTCGTAACAAATCTATGAGTAAGACTGTTGTCGCTAGTATTTAAATAGAATCGTAAGATCATAATGATCTATTTATAATATGATAGTTTATCTGGTAGTTCGACAAATGAGATGTTAGTTTATTATTTTAATATCGATTATACTTGATTAACTAAATAATATTCAATATTTTCTTATAGTATTTTTCTTGTATAAAAGAACATTTAACATGTATATTTAAAATATTAAAAATATCTAAAATATTATATAACATCTGTAATATTATCTAAAATATTTTATATTATTTTTTACAAAGTGAGGACACTACATTTTTCTAAATTATTTTGTAAGTAAAACATGTCAAATAACACGTAAGTTTAACACACACATACATATATAATATGTTTAAAATATGAAAATATTACATGTGAATAATCTGTATTACAGTCTAAAAAAATAATAGTAATTATATTCGTGAATAACATGTTTTACCGCCTAGAAAATGTATTACAATCTGCCAAACATTAGACATTACATTACCTAATTTTATGGGAGAGTTTAATACAGACTTCTACCGCATTATCCGTAATGTAATGGGAGACATTACATTACCTATATGTATTACATATATCTTGCATTTTTTTAGATTTATTGTCAGTTACCTTATCGTTCAAAATTATCAAATATGTAGAATTAAATTACTAATTTTAAATTTTATTAACCAATGTTTGTTCAAAGATCATTAAATTTTCTAGAGGAATATATCAATTTGTCGAATTACCATCAATATATTATGACAAATTATTATGCGAATATGCTAAATTTTAAGAATCACATCACCTTGATTTTATAAGAATGTGGTTCATCCATATTTTATTTTACATTCTAATCAACCAATTGAGAGATGAGAGAGAAATATTATTATCATTTTCAAAATATCTAATTATTATTTTTTTTCCTATTTATATTTTATTTTAGTTTTGACAATTGTCAATATTATATTTGATCACATTGTGCACGCAAGTAATTTTTTAGATTTAAAGTTGTGAACATAAGAAATATCTTATGTGGTTCACAATCCATATAAACAATTGACATTTGTCAAAATTTATGTGATATCAACATTATGCATTGTAAATGCTCTTATTTCGTTTTAAATAATTTCAAATATACTTCTATCCATTCCAAATAAAATTCATACTATTTAAATTCGAACATTTCGTACCAAAAATAAATCACCCACTTTATACCACAAAATCAGACATTTATTATTAACAACACATTTTCTACGAAAAGATAAAAATGGCTATCAGATACTTAAAATAAAATCATCAACTTTATACCAAAATTAATTAAGTAATTTCTAAAAGTCGTTTCTACATTTTGTCCAAAATATTTTTTAGCGACACATAAATGTTATTTATATTTTTGTATTTAGTTATCTTGTCTACGAAAAAAAAGATAATCTTGCAACTCTACTATGCCAACAAAAAGATGTATGAAAATAACATAAGCATTAATTTATTATGTTTTACTAAATACAGGAAATATAATATAGATATAAAGATTAACTATTAATTCTCTATAATTTGCTCAATCAAGTCTATATATTTAAACTAAGGATTTCGAAAGTTTCTATAATACCCCCATATTTGTTTCCATAAAACTAAATCATCCTAAATTTAAATTCAACTAATAAAGGTAATAACTGTAAATATTTGACTAAAAAGATTATGTACATTAATTACATTGATTTTTATTAATTTACTATTTTTAGACAATAATTAATGAAATTGGCGGGAAAGTGTTTCTAAATGTTTCCTTTTGCGGGACGGGATAACCAGACTTCTCCCGCATTATCTGTTGTTTCCTTTTAAGGATTGGGATGGGATTTGCGTGAGCTGACACACATGTGGCTGCGGACCCCACTTGTATATCCGTTACTGGCCGATTAATTAATCTCTGCCTCACCCTGGGATTTTTTTATCCCATCCAAAAATTTACCATTTTGTCCCAAAAAATGCTACGATTTTAGGTTTGCACAGACGAGTCCCCCAATTTCATTTTCGTTAAACTCATTTTACTTGAACCAAAAATCCAAACTCATGGTCCCTGGATCTCACCGTGCCGGTCGTGAAGCTCGGAGTCGACGACAGACGAAGTGGAGGAGAGGCGCCGACAATTTTCATAGTCTTCATCGAGGTGCCGCCGCCGCGGCGATTGCGACGGGAGCATCGACGCAACTTGACGGATTCCGGCTCTGCTCCTCTTCATATTATCAAAACTGGATCTTCACCACCGCGTAATCTCTCATCTCGAAACCATACCTGCCACTCGGATTTGGTATTTTTGCCTCTGAAATTAGGGTCCTATCTCGTCAGAGTCGTAAGCACTTCACTCGCTAGAGGATGGGATTCATTCACTGCTGCGAGTTGGTATGGTCTATGGCTGGAGATTCCGAATTAAGTTGCAGGGAGGGCTGTAGATTTTGAAATTAGGTTGCAGAGCAGTTTTGAAAGAGGTGAAATGAAAAAAATGGAAAGGAAGAAGAAGACTATTGATAAGGCTATAATTGTCATTTGCAGTTAAATCATTTAATTTTA